ATAATAACAAGCATTTTGATAAAACTTTTTAGTTTTTATATCAAAATGTTTGTAGACTTTTTTCATCTTGCTATGTTCATTTTTAGTGAATTAGTGGTGGTACATTTTGAATATATTAAAAAGTTCTAGTTTACATTAAACAAATTAATAATGCTTAAAAATCTTTTCTTTTTTTTTCTTTGTCTTTCCACTATTATTTTAGAATAAAAACACATAGAGCACTTTAAATTTAAATGTTCTTACTTCAATTTAAAATTACATGTTTTCTTGTTTGTTTTTGCTTTTTACCTTGCAGCATTGGCACTCAGTTTGCTCTGTATGGCAAATGTATCCACATGACCTTTGTGCAAATTTAATTTTTCTGAAATTCTTATTAATTCACTCTTATAAGTGAAATTGTAAAAAGCAGTACAGTTTCCAGACTCAATCATTATTATTTGGAACAAAAAACTATATATATTTTTTTTGTGATTGCTTGTTGCTGAATTTTATGGCCAGAACAATGGAGAATATAATTTTAATAAATTATTCAGTTGAGTAAAGTATAAAACCAAAGGTAGATGAATTTATGAATCTAATTGAGATAAAGCTTTTTTTGTTTAAACAAAACATCAGTTATTGTGCGTAAAAATATTCCTTTTTAGTTTTATTCAATTTTCATTTGTAGGCGAGAGTTGAATTTTATTTCAAAATAGCAATTAATGATGATTTTCTTTTTTGAAGGTTTTTGTTGTTTTTTAAATTTAGATTCATGTACAAGTTGTATTTGAATTTTTTCTCTCAGAAATGAATGTTGATAAGTGGAAATTTACAAGGATATTTTTTAATGAGTTAATTTTAACTCGTAATTCATTATTAAGGAATGATTGGTCTCTCGTTTTAAGTGTGAAAAATCAGTTTTCAATGATGAGAATAATTTCAAATTAAACTATATGTTAATATTCTTTTGAGATGACAATTAACAATTGTTACATTGTATGGAAAACTAATTTTTGTGTCCAAACTTAACAATAAATATCTTAATTTTCTGAAAGTATAAGAAATACTGATATTGTTGAAGGAATTTACACAAGAAATGTCTATTACAGGATGAATCTTAAAAAGTAATTTATAAGTAGGTATCTCCATAGATTTGCTAAAAAATGAGCATACCTGATGATAAAAAAAATGTCCCAAAATTTTAATAAAAATAGTTTTATTGTCAAAATCTTTATTATTAAGAGGAAAGACTAAAGGGTTTTTTTGATTGTCAAATTTACAAATTATAATTTTAATCCTTTTTAGAACTTTCAAAATCAAATAATTGTCAGATTTTAATGATGCTTTCAGGACTTATTCACAAATGAATGAAATTATTTTAGAAACATTTTTTTTTTTTTTTAAATGTTACCCTCCACTCATTTAATTTTAAGAAATTTATTTTTTGTAGGGCTTAAATGTTTATATTCTTTATGAGCACAAATCCTTGGGTAATTTACATTATCAATTTTTTTTCTTTGTTTTTTGTAAAACAGGGCCCCCAGTTATAATTAAAGCTTTTATTTAATTAGAATAACTTTTAATTGCTTTTATGAATGATATATTATGGACACTATTGTCTTAAAAAAATATTTTCAGTTAATAATGAATTTTTACAAGAATTCTATTCATTTTCTTTAAATTTTAATTATAATAATTTATATAATTTTTTAAATTTGTGTAATTTTAAAAATTTAGGAAAATATTCTAATTAATCTAACATTTTATTGAATTTTAGCTCTGGCTTTAAATTTACTATAGTTGCCACTCTTATTTTCTGATAATGTTGTGCATAGACGTCCGTATTTACAAAAATTGGCACATTTCTACACGTACTAAAAAAACTTGAAATTCTTTTTAAAATATGGGGGGGTGAATTATAATAAGCGTTTCCATTTATGATTATAAATATAATTTTTACTTAATATCACCTAACTGCTACAAATTAATACAGAATTTAAAAGATTTAAAACTATGAATTATAATTAAAATTTAAAAAAATAAATAAATGATTCTTGTCAATTTATTGTTTATTGAAAATTTTTTTTCTTAAGACAATGGTGTCCAATATATTTTATACATAAAAACAATTAAAAACTTTTCTAATTAAATAATGGCTTAGTTTTATTGCACTTTATATATTATGATTGAGCTGATTTTCTGTAACTGGGCGTCCTGTTTGATCAAAAATATTTGATTTAAATTCTCCAAGGACTTGTCCTCATAACTAATATAAACATTAATGAATAATAAATAAAAAAAAATAAAAAAAAGATATCGAGAACTTCTCTAACTTTTGATAAAATTAATGAATGGGGAAAGGGGTAACAGATTTAAAAAAAAAAAAAAAAATTCTAATAAAATGTTTAAAAAATAATTTCATTCATTTGTTTGTGAATAAGTCCTAAATTTTTATTTAAAATCCAACAATTATATGTATTTTGCATAAATTTCTAAATATATTTTTCCTCACGAAAAGACACTGAAATATCCTGTAAAAATTTATGGTTCGCATTGAAAAACAAGATTTTTAATCAAACTTTCCAAGGTTCTAAAAAGGATAAAAGAAAATAATTTTTACATCAAAAAATCCTTTGATCAATAATAACGCAACAATAATAATAATGTTCTAATAATAACACAAAATGTTTTGACAGTAAATGTCTGTACATTTTTTTATCATGTATCCTTGTTTTAGGAAATTTCTGGTGGTACCTGTATTATTTTTGTTGCTTTTTTCCTCCCCAATCAAGTGATGTTTTTAATTGTGACAGAAATTATCTTTTCTATTTGTTTTTGTGTAAATCTTAAAAAGAATTGAAATTCAGTTGTAATAAAACTCTTCAAAAATACATGTCATCTCTTTTCAGTTAAAATTTATGTACCACCACAGACTTCCTAAAAAAAAAAAAAAAAACCCTCAAAAAACACATATTAAATAATTTGAATATCTTTTTTGAACTTAAATTTCGGTTTTATTTGAAAGATAATAGGCTAAAGCTAATCTGAATTAAAATAAAAATTAATTTCCATGTATAAAAGTTTTTAGGCATTTTTAAAACATTGGCATATTCACTCCTCATTCATCAAACTGCCATTATAGATGAAATATAAACAACAAATTTAAAAATCTCTTAAAAAATTCAGTATTTGTAATAATGATGTGTTTTAAAGTCATTTATACAATTTTATGAAACTTAGAATGTATAATTTTATTTCTATACTACCATTAGAAAGTTTCTTTTTTTTTTTTTAAACTTTCAAACATTCCACTTTTTTTTATTATTTTCTTACCTGTTTGATGTCATAAAATATCTAATTGCACCCAATATGATTTTTTTAATTGTTGTGAATTTAAGAGTTATTGAATTTTTATATATCATATTACTCTTCTGATGGGAAAAAGACTACTTAGTAGTCAATCAAATTCAGAATTATTTCCTTTTTGAACATCCATACAAAAAATAATCTAAAAGATGCTATTCTTTTTCACCTTTCTCTTACAATATACTACATATAGAACCTCAATCTTTGTAGTCTATATTCCAATGTGTTATATTGAGCTATACTTGAAAGGGTACTAATTAGAGAAATTAAATTTGATATTCAATTGGCTAATTTTCAAATCTTGGTCTGCATATAAATTTACATTGTTTTTGTAGTAGTTTTATTTATATCTTATTTACTAACCTTGCTTATGGATAAATTTAAAGCTGTTCATTTTCAGTGAAAATGTGAATGTTTTTTTATTTTTTGTGAACGCATATGCTCTGAAGTATTAAACTTTCAGTTTGATTTGCTACTTTAAAAATGGACATTTTAAAAGAGTGTGTGTGTGTGTGTGTATATATATATATATATATATATATACATACACACACACATACATACACACACACACACACAGGTATATTAAAACAGTGGGAGGAAGGGCAAGGACAAACAAAAGGAAAAAAAAGATTCCTCATTATAATCCGAGAGAGGGGGGGGAGCTCTACACTCTTCATAGCCAATTGAAGACAGAATATACATATGTGTTTACAAGTGACTAAGCAAGTTGTGGTAAGGGAAAAAATGCTAACAGAATATCAGAAGTGTCTCTTTGTTTAGTCATTGTACACATATTTGTTTTGTCCTTGATTGTCCCCAGGAAGAGTGAGGAGTAATAACCAGTTAGACCTCTTTTTTTTTTCCCCTCCCAATCCACCACTTTACAGTAATTTTTTTCTTTACTTATCCTTACATTTCCTCCTCCTTTGTTTTAATATATTTGTGTATATATTTATATATACTTTTAAAATGTACATCTTTAAGACCATAATGTAAAAAAGGTACAATTTCAAGATATTTTTATTTACATTCTACATAACAATTTGGAAAGTACTGGTATAACTAATGAAAAATTGTTTGCATTACATTTGTATTATTTAGGTTAAATATGTAGAGTGGTTTAAACTTCTTTGAATCAACATCAGTGGATTTTCTTTATAAAAAGAACATTTTTGAAAGTTGAAATATTGGAATTAGTTATTTTAAAACCTATTTTAAGATGCTTTGTATATGTTACTATGATAAACATTTTTACCAAATGCCATTCTCTATCCTGCTTGGCAGTTAAGATACTTGTTTTCCCCACCATTGCTGATGCTTAATGTTCAAAACTAAGTTTTAAGATGCTGAATTTTACTTGAAATTGGCAAACCTTTTTCATTTAGAAAATCTCCCACTTCATTTCCTCCCATTTTTAGTCATGCCAGACTGAGTTAGTAAATATTGATGACAAATGTAATTAGGAAAAGAATTGTAGAATAATTTTCTTTGCATTAATGCATTACTTTTTTTTCTTCCAAATATTTATAAATGATCATTGTTTTTGTATTTATCCCCTAAAATGAAAGTTTTTTTTTTTTTGTTTTTTTTTTATGTTTTAGGTTCAATAATAATTTCTACTGACTAATGTCTTAATATTGCTCCATACAATCATGTCTCGGAAAAATAGGCCTACTGCAGCATCATGGGATAGGTGAGTATAAGATGAACTTGGGCTCTTTAAAATTTTTCATTTTACTGTAGATTTGAATATATTGTTTATTCCAGAAATAGATATATTTCTATGTTTTTAAAAATTAGATATGCTGATTTAACAAAATCAAGCAATACCCCCTTAAAATCATCTGGTCAGTTATATTTTGAATAATTATAATGCTGCAGACATTAGAAATTCATTAAAACACTACCATCTCAGAGTTATTTTAGTTATTTTTCAGACAATTTAAATTAGCATTAAAAAAAACATTTACTTTATAGAAGTGAATATATTTTTAAACTGTTTCAATTGATAAGAATTTCTCAATTTGGAAAATATTTTTTTGCTTAAATTTATATTTGTAAATTTGCATGCAATGAGTCCGAAATCTAAAATATCAAGGTAAAAAAAATTGTTAGGTGAAATTTTTATTGTTTTCAGCAATTGCTTAAAATACAAATAAGCTGCTACCATACAACAACATTGCTCTGATCTGTCATTCCAGCTATTGTCTAGAAATGTGCAAATGATTCCTTGAATTTTACATCATAATTGATTTAAAACCTTATTGGCTCAGTTTGAATTCCAAAGCTGTAAATATGTTTTTGTTTTTTATAGCATAAAATATGTATGTCTTAAAGTAGAAATAGAGATTAGTGGCATAGTAATATTTAGTTCAATCTCTGGTTGAGTAATACAGCCAGACTCAGTATTAAAAGGATGATTAACCAAGATGAGATAGATATCCATAGACATAGACAGCAGAATGAGAATAATATATTCCTGTAAATTCAATTTCATGAGTTCAATTTGAAATTTCCTGAAGGTTACTTGGATTAAATGGCAACCAAAGAGCACAGTGGCTGAAATGTGATAACAACAACAAAGATAAGGACATTAGTTCAACTGTAAATAACATAAATAATAATCATTCCTCATCACAGAAATTCCGATAAAACAATGTGATCAAACTTTGTGATTTGTTTCAATGTAAATAAAGTAAATTTTAATGCATTTGAGTTTAAGTTTTCTTCTGTCAATTTAAAAAAATGTTTCAATGAAGATTATAAGACAGTGGAGTCAAATTTTCTTGACAAAATCTTGCACAATTTTTTTAATGAGTTATATAATGAATATTACATTTATTGATATAAAAGATAAGTGACATCTGGCTGATCTTAAATATTAATTGGTTTTATACTGAATGTTCTTTTGCTGAATGACATTAAAATTATTGATATTTGAGATTTATTCTTTGATAAAGTGTCATAAATTTTTATATTTTAGTGATGAAGATCTTCTTCAAGATGATATTCTTGGAATCAGTGCATTTCAAAGTTCTAAGGTAAATATTTTCTCAAATATTTCAATTTATACTTTAACTGAAAATAATTATTACGGACACAATAGGGACCATTATTTTATTTACATTTGGCATTTAATAATGATCTGCTCATTGACAATTATTCACTTTACTGTAAAAAGTAAAGGAAAATAACTAATCATTTTATAATGTCTTACATTCTAGGAGTATTGGAATTGTTAGATTTCAAGTGTGTATATTGTTCAGTGTCAAATAACATCAAAATTGGGAATTTCACTTTTAACTGTGAATTGTGTAATTATTCAATTCTGTATTGAAGGAAAGGAAACCACTGCATCTTATTTAGGTTGGCTTCAGCTATTAAAAAATAGGTGTCCTCTAGATTGTAATTTTTTTCAAATTTCTTTTTGTGACATTCTTAAAGCAGTTATTTTCTTGTTAGTGTTTTAAATTATACTGTTCAATGATCTCTCCAACTTTTTGCAATTTCAAATGTTGTGTGCCTAGCATTCATAATAACTTTGCAATATCTTTTTTCTCTTTTGAGGCTATATCTTTCTTATGAACTCTGAAAGTCTTTATACATCTGAAAAGTAAAAAATAATTATCAATGATTATAGTATTATACACATTAACATATTCAATAAACCAAAAGTTCAAGTCACATTGAAATGCTCATCAGGGTCAGATATCTGATAAATCTATTAAATTTATTATCAGATCTCATATTTATACTCTTTCTGAGCAAATGAAATGTTAGAAACATCACAACATTTACGTTTAGAAACTGTAAAAAATTTTCCTTTTCTTTTTTAATATCACTATGTATACACATATACATACTAACCTATATGTATACATATACAATTTTTTAAATTTAATTTTTTTTTCTCATGTTGACTTGTTACAATTTTGTATGAACCATATATTCTCTAGATTTCCCCTGTTACAAATGTGATGTATGTCAAAGTGGCAGTGTTTTGCTTTTGTTTTTTCTGTTTGCTGGTGGTTGTAATTAATATGTTTGCAGGATAGTTCTTTCTTTGGAGTTTTTTTCTACTGTGCATTGCTCATTTGTATGTCTAGGCAACCATATATATATATATATATATATATATATATATATATATATATTTGGTTGGATAGATGTGAGTTTGTGACCCTGGGTTTCACGCTTTAGCGATCGTCAGACAAACTGATTAATGTTTTAAAAATTTGGGTTTATTTAGATTGTGTGTATTGGTGTTATTATGGAAGTGGTGAGGGAAACTTCGTTGTTTTGTCATTCATCGTACTAATGCAAACATTAATGTATGCAGACACATATACATACTTGGTCGTCCGTCAGGACTCATACATATATAAACATATGTGGGCAGTTTCGGATATTTTTAAATTTTTGAAAAAAAAAAAAAAATAAATGGGGTTTTATTTGTTATATTTAAAGCTGGTTAGGATTTATACCAAAATAAATTAATACGTATAACAAAATAAAATAAAAATAAAATAAAAATAAAATAAAACACCAACAACCACTTTTTAGTTCAAGCTACCACCACTATAACTACATTCATGGTTTTATCATTCTCCCACAACCGTTACTAATCATTTCTACCAATTTACAATTTCTATTAGCTAACTATCATTGTCTCTAATCCCTTGAAACATTACTATCACATCATATCATATAGACCCGTTATTAAATTGAACTACCCTCTCACCCAGCACATTGAATATTAAACATCTCCATATAAATTATCCAATAAAGATTACAAATTTCTACCTGTTACATATACACAGTCACCAAAAACAAACAAATAGCCAGCTTTAAATATAACAAATAAACCCCCATTTATTTATTTTTTTTTTTTTTTTTCAAAAATTTAAAAATAAATATAAATAATAATAATTTTTACCTATCATAATTTTACACAAACCCCACCACACGTATATACATACATGCGAGGAAATATTTTTCAGCGGAAAATACATAATATGACATGTATACATTCACAAGACATTAAAGAGACATTTCCGCCACACTTCCAATGTTTAAATTTCAACATACAAATGTGTATGTATAGACATAACACCACCCGTATACATACATGTGTTATAGCTGAAACTGCCCACATGTTTATATATGTATGAGTTCCGACGGACGACCAAGTATGTATATGTGTCTGCATACATCGATGTTTGCGTTAGTACGGTGAATGACAAAACGACAAAGTTTCCCCCACCACTTCCATAATAACACCAATACACACAATCTACATAAACCCAAATTTTTAAAACATTAATCAGTTTGTCTGACGATCGCTAAAGCGTGAAACCCAGGGTCACAAACTCACATCTATCCAACCAAATATGTTAGCTCTATCTCTGATATTGAGCGCTTTCAAATAAGTACCGTGCATATAATATATAAATAATTATACATATATATATTTATTTATATTTATATACACTTTTCACACATATATATATATATATATATATATATATATATATATAGCTTGCTGTTGTAAAACAACATTCTAGAACACAACATACATCAGAGGAAGGTTATACAAGTGAAATATTTTGAAAAAAAAAAACCCACAAAAGTGAAATTTAGTTTTAAAAAAAACACATACAATGTTCATTATAGCTAGTATCTGTTAAAATAAGTTTTTGTTGATTAAACAATGTGCTTTGCTGAAATGATCTTGGCCCAATCAAGAAGTGATTCCAAAATACTGATATTTAGTAATTGGTCAGATTTTGGAAAGGGTGTTGGACTGAGTACTTTTTGCCATCTATTTGTTGATGAAAAAATATTCTTGTTGGTAATGTTCATAAAATCTTTTTATTAGATTTGTAGCAGTCTTATGTAACCAAGCATCTGTTCTGAATAATACAATAAATTCAATGAGGTTAATAGGACAGTTTTACTACTATCTTTGTACTTTTTGTTACTATTATTATTTTTGCTGCTTTGTTAATCTTTATTAACAAGTTTATTACCAGATAAATTCATTTAAAACCTAGCTCAAATCATTCAGCTTAGCACCAAACAAAATGGCAGAGCAGTCTCTTCTGTTTCCTATTATAACCAAAAACCAATTAAATTACAATATCCTTCCTCCTTAGACATAGTCACCCAAGTACCGAGATCTTTTTATGGCATATTTTGAATGGCAAGTGTCCACAATTTTCTAATCTAGCTTTGACATAAGGCCACAAATATGAGACATCTTGTGAAGATCAAGCTTACTATTCAGTAGTCATAATCTGCAAGACTAGTTTACTAACCATTACCTTATGGTGAAGTGTTCATATTTGTTTCAATATTAGTACAAGTTGTATCAATTATTTTACAAATGAATATCAAACACTAATAGAATTAGATGTTATTTGATTGGTAAATTCTTTTATTCAGGAAAAAGAAGAATCTGATGAAGAACTTGATGAAGATGCACTTCTTGGCAGTGACAATGAATATGGTGATACTACTGTGGAAAAGGAGCCTGTACCAGTTAAAGTTGACAAAACGTTGACTTCTAATACTGCATCAGCTATTCCTACACAACCTCAGTATCAAAGTCATGTCAAAGCTAATGATGAACATGATGTGGAAGAATATGAACTTCTTGAGTAAGCATTTCTTTGTAAAAATTATCTGGATGTATTGAGGCTGAAACTGAACGTTTGTGTTGGAGATAATTTTATATCGTTATTTTAAAAATTTTATATTAATACTTTAAAGTTAAAGATATATGTATTGATATTATCATAGCCCTATATCTTTAAAACTTGCTTATTCAGTCAAAATTAACTCTTTAATTCTTGTGAATAGCAAAATGATGAATAAAGAATTTGGGAATTTGAATCGATAACTTCTTTAGGTAACTTTCTGGTTACCTGAAAAATGATCGACCCACTGTTGTGGGTTTTATTTTACTTTTTTCATTCTTCCACATTTCCCTTCACTTAAAACATACTTCTGAATTTGCATTATAATAATACTCTTTTTCTTGGAGTTTCTGAAATGTGTATTTGCAATTTTAGAACTTTTGCTATAGCAATATTATTAATATCTAAGAAACTCTTATTTACAATTCATATTGTTACCAATGTAAAAAAAAAAAAAAATTACCACTTTTGAATATGTCATTGTTGTTTAATAATTATGAAATTAAGTTATTTACTTATTAATGATTGTGTCCAGTAAAATAGAATATAAATAATAATTGCTATTATTTTTGTCTTTCTTGCTTTTCTGAAAAGTTTGTTTTATCATAAAATATATATCCCAAATTATTAATTCTGAGAATATTTTATGTTGATGCAAACATTGTGAATTGTCACAACTGAGGATCACTTATATCGATTCTGTTGTATGAGTTTTTAAAATTTTCTTTTATAATTTCTGAAACCACAATGTGGTTGTTTCTCAAGTAGAATTAATACTTATAGTTTCCATTTACTATAGATATTTATATTCAAGTGAAAAGTGCTTTTCTCTTTCAATTGCCATGTTTTATACCCTAACAGATACATTAAAAATTCTTGTAAAAAAAAAAAGATAATAATTTGCAATGTTTCTTTACTTTTCACTACATTTTGATTAAAAAAAATAAAAAAAATGTATGTCATTGTGAAACATTTGATCTGCTTCCCTTAAAAAACAACAAAACATGTTCATAATGATTACTTTAAATTTTATAAGAAATCTTGAAATAAATTTTGCTTTCACTTGAAGAATTTCATTTCAATGTTTTTCTTTCTTCATCTTTACTGTTTTGAACATATGATTTAATGAAGCATATTATGGGCTTTTTTGATCTTTATTTTGAAATTTCTATTTCTATTTTTCAGAGTTCCTTCAGATGCCGACTTTGAAGGTGAAGATGTCATTGAAGTGGCTGATCCATCTGAACTTGATGGTTTTGAGAATGGAGGTGGAAATTTAGTGGAAGTAAACCAAGTATGTATATTGATAACACGTTTTATAAAAATTCTGATTGTATTTTTTATTTCATTTTTACTTTTGTTTATCATGACTTGTAATCAGTGTTTTCCTATTACTGTATATATTTGTGTTTAAGCTGATCTGAATATAAGCCCTTCGCCCCACCCATCTCTTTTTATGTATGTGGACACATGGTACAGTGGATAAAGGCATTATTTAGATCCAATGACAGGACCCAAAGAGTGTGAATCAATACCTGGTTAAGGCACTGGAGAACTTGGAGAGGGGAATTAACAGGAGATAACTGGCATCCATTAGACATGGCACTAGAACAGTCCACCCCAGCGAGTGAAATAAAGAGTTTGGTTTGACATTCCAACCACCTGAAGAAGGCCGGAGTGTACATCGGCCGAACCGGTGTAATAAATATGGTGACAAAGATGAGGACAATAGTCCAAATAATGTAAATCAGGGGTTGGCAACTCATTCGACACCGTGGGCCAGATCGTGTTATAATGACGGGTCGCGGGCTGGACGAAGACCATTAATGAAAAATTAAGGAAAATTACATATGCAAACCCCTGTCAACCTAAATATTTAAAACCATAATGAAAATAAACATTGAGAAATCAGGAAAACAAAAGAAAATCTAAAATTAAAAAACACCTAACAAAAATTACTTTTCCTCAAGGAATGTCAAAATACTTCAAAGTGGGAAAAATCAACCGAAGTGAAATGGATGAAATTATGATGTGTAGGTTTGAAACTGTTATTGAAAATTGTTCCACAAATGAACCACACACACACATCAAACAAAAACGAAGCATATATACCCATACATACAAGTACAAATAGTTGCAAACATATACACTTACATACGTACAGATGCAGTATCATACCACACATTCATGAGGTATGTATGTATAATGCACGTATGTTTAACTGTCTTTAGATTTCTGCTACCTCGCATGTCAGTCCCTCCCTGGCCTCTTTCACTTTATTGTTCCTTTCACTTCTGTTATCTTTTAATGTAGCCAAGGGTCCTAACAAATATGTATCCATTATTTGACATTAAATGTAGGCAACGCAACTTGGTAAAATAAATCTCATGAAAGATAACTGACAGTCTAATATGAAAGCCTCGTCACTCATGTTAAAAATAGTCATTGGTGATCAGGCTCGCGGGCCAGTCAAAATGCCTTCGTGGGCCGGATCCGGCCAGTGGGCCGTAGGTTGCCGACCCTTGATGTAAATAGTGAACGAGTGTGATTATTAAAAAATTCTGTAAAATGCTTCTAAAATCTAAGTAAAATGGTTTCATTGTAAAGCTGTTTTCGTGTTGCTTTTTTTATTTTCATAAATATTAAAGCTGGTGAAAATTAGCAGAGTATTAATCGCAAATATAAGCCCCCTTTATCAATTTTAAAATGCATTAGTATATATAGTAACCATTTTACCTAGAAGAGTGTATTATACAAGGGGATTTTGAAAAGTTTTCAACCTGTCCAAGAAGGCATAAAAAATATTTGATCAGATTTTGTGAATTAGGTCAGACCAAGAACATTTCAGCACTTCCTTATATAAAGTTTTATCTCCCACCCAAAGTTATATAGCTTGTGAAAATTATTATTGCTTGTATCAAAAATACTTCTGATCTTCATTCAAAAATTTATTAAAAATACTAAAACTTTTGATTACATTTTAGATATTTCTTTTATGTACTTGTAAGCTAGCTAATTGGATAAATCTGAGAGACAAAAGTTATACCTAAGTTCTTCACTGAAGCTGAGGAACCAACTTTTCAAATAACAAGTTTGAAAGGGTCAACTTTATTTTATTTAAATATTAATCTTATTAATAGTTTTGTGCTAGAACTTGAATTTTATTTCTACTTTTATTTTTTTTAAATAATTTTCAGGATGTTACATCTGAGGATTTTGGTGCTGGAGACATAAGTGGACAGCCTCTTGAAGGACTTGGTAATGAGGGATACACACATCCTGTGGATGACTATGAATCATTCCAGAGTCAAGAAGAGGACTATGAAGTAAATATATATATATTTTAATGACAATTACTTTATACTTTTTCATTTGGAGCCTAGAAAATAATTCATGGAAATTTAAACTACTGAATAAAAAGTGATTCTGTAGAAATAACTTAATTGGCAAAAGGAATCAATGACCTCCAGCAAAAATGTCAATCTATATAAGAGTTATTTAACTGTTGTTGACTAGATAAGTAGTTTTGTGAGAGTAAATTGTGCATATATTTATTCTAATTTTTTTCTGGTATACCAATAATGTGATTCTGGTTAAAGATGGCTGACATGTGAAAAAGCTGCAATCAAAAATTTGATTTTTGTTTGCCAGTTCTGTTTTCTGAGTTACTATTCATTACTTCATCATGAACTTCTGTTTCTTTGCAATACATTTTTCATATTTAAATGCTTTGATAGGTTTATCAAACTGGAATTTTATAATGTTTGATGGCTTGGAGAGTTATAATAGGATTATTGGGCTTCAATATAATCTTGCAATTCCTGATCACTTAAAACATATGTATTACTTATTTATTCTTTTGATAAATCCCAATATTCTTTTTCTCAATGTAGGATAAAACCATTAAAGGTTTTGATGAGAGTAGTGAGAGTGAGGATGAAGAAAAAGGGCGTGGTCGTTTTATCAGTGAACGATCCAACATCATTTCTATTGCAACCACCAAACCCAAAACAAGAACAGACATTCCAGATACTTTAGGTAAGATGATTGTTTTTTAACTCTTTTGATAAGAAATATTTTATTAGAATATTTTTTTACTGCACCTCCCTTTTATTGTTTGACCCTTTTTTGGGGGGAGAATTTGTAAATTATCCATTGACAACTTTCTCCTTTCATTTACTATTAAGGAAATTTTTGTCGGTTGATAGAGTTGTATACATAGGTATGCATTGTGTTTCTTTATTGGTCTTCAAGAGTTGTGTCTTTACATATTGCTTAGTACCTTGGCTTCATGTGACAGTTTGTGATGTCATTTTGTGAAGACATGATATTAAAAAAACAAAATAAACTTGTCTTGTTTGAAAACATGACACTTGAAAATATTCAAACAAGCACAATGTATTCCTATAGACACAATCTTATCAACCAACAAGGATTCTTTGACAATGCTTTATGAAAGTTGAAAGCACACACATAAGACATTGGACAATTTATGTTTAAATTGTAATCCAGAAAAATGATTTTGGACTGCCAAAAAAAAATCTTAAATAATCTTTCATTGGTCTTCAACCAAACGTGTATAAATGAAAATTTGTTGCTCAAATGTATCCAATTTCCCTTTCAGTTGGTTTTCTTTTCATTTTTCTTTAGCTCTTTTGCTTCACTTAATTTTTTTCCATTTAATATTATGTTGTATGTTTCTTGGTTAGAAAGTGTAACTGATTCCATTTCAATAGGGCTGGCATTTGAGTTGAGAATACACTTTAGTCCAACTTTGGTAAGCATCACTCATAGCATAAATTATCGATTTAATGTTTTTTTTATTTTTTGAAATGCAAAGTTGTCATTTTTGAGGATTGAAAATACTGATTAACATTTTTATCACTAAATTTTTTTTTTTTTTTTAATCTTGTGAAAATTTGAACATTTAGAATTGCAGTATATAGTGTTAAATTTTCCTTATTTTTTTTTTTTTTTTTTTTTTTAGAAAAATTTATCACTGAACACATTGCTTTAATTGCTTTATTTTTTTAAATTGTTACTTTTTCTTTCAAAGTTTGTAGCACTTCTATGATAGTTCAAGTTTAATTTGAAAGTACTAGTTTTAAAATATTCAAGAAAAAATTTGTTCTGTATTAAAAATGTTTCATGTTCTTATTGAAATGGATACTTTATTTATATAGAAGTAAATTAATTTCTTTACTTACAACAATGCAAAATCATTTTAAATAATCACAAAACCTTTACTTCAAATAATGATAATTTATTTCAATACATTTCTAGAGATAAGTGAAGAGCAGCAAGCTCAGATTGATCAGTTTTTGAATGAGCGTAGCCGCCGTGGAAGTCGACGTGGGTACCGAGGTGGGCAAGATCGTAACATGCGAGGTAACCGACAATCTGTTTATGATGCTTGGCAAGAACGATCCAATATGAATTCAAAGCAACCAGCTCCTCACCAAATACCAGAACACAAGAGAACATCACATTATCATCAACCACCTGTCCCAAGCATGTCTCGTAGTGAAGGTGAAGTTTATCCTATCACTATCACATGCCAGGGCAACTACAATGCTTCGCATAATCAACCCCACAATAGCAATCAATCTCGCCAAGATTCTCAACAGCATCATTACCATCACCAGATTCAACAGCCACCACTTCTCCCATCCCATCCATCTCAGCCTGCCTCTCATCAAAGCCATATGTACCAGCACCAATCTGTTGTCAGCCAACATGAAGCTGCTATTTCCCCTCACTACACACAACCACCCTCAGTTAACCCAGCTCCCCAACTAGCAGCTCCAGTCTCAACTGCCACTGTGCAGTTAACACAGGGTAACAATACCACTTCACATCAACAAGGGAGAAAGATTCTTATCAACCCTCATTTCAGAGGAGCTAAACTAGATGCTCCATCTCCTCAAGCTCCTCCTGTTATCTCTTCAGCGTCAGCAATGGCATCTACTTCTTTATTGCCACAGCCACATCGACATTATCAGCCTGTTCCTCAACAGGTAAGCCTTAATAGACTACTGTACATTGTTGATAACTGTTTCAAAGCAATGATGTATTGTTTACTATAGGGAGAAGGAAATTTTTAGCCAACTGGATTATCCTTGAAAATTGCTGGAGCTTTTAGCCAAAGATCATTTTCTGAAGTACAAAAAAGGGAAGTAATTACTCTTTCACACCATAAGTTACACTTTTTAAAAAGAGTGGTAGGAAAAACTCCTCCAAAAATCACCTTGAGTTTCATCACACAATGATTGGGTTTGTGTAGATAATAAGTCTCCTGATGACCCAAGAATGAAATATATATGATTAAATTATGATTACAAATCATGTTAAAATATAAAAATCAATTACACATAAGTGTTATAATTACATTTATGTATGTATGTGTAATATATATATATATATATATATACACAAACACCTTACTAAATTATAGATGTATCTTGCATACTGGGGAAAACAGTATTTAGTTAAAAGAAATAACAGAGCAAACATTTCTAATAAGTTACATTTAAGTTTACTTTTAAAGTATTGAGCATTATTTGTTAACAAAGTTTGAATCTTTCTTTAATTTTATTATGAAATAGGAAGATTTGTAGATGAGTTAAGAGTTATTAAGAGAAATACCCAAGAATAAACTGGTTGAATGTTGAAATGATCTTTACAAAGCACAAATTTCTTTTGCATAATATTAAAGTATAATTGTACTATTATTTGCATAATGTTGTTTAATATTGAATCTAGCTAACATTTTAAATTTCTAGTTTTGATTTTAATTTTGTCTCTTCTCAATGTAATCTTTAGTTTAGAATTTTTAATATTCTCTGCATTAACCTAATATTTTGATAAAACTTTCTTTAATAAATCATCTATAATAATAATAATATTTCAAAATATTTTTGCTTGTATGAATTTAACATTTTGTTTTCAGACTACTTATGTACATCATACTCCTGAAGTATGGCAATCTTCAGCTCAGCCCCAACATTCTTATCCATCAAGTAACCAGCCAGTAATGCATTCACAGACACATTATGGTCCAGTTTCCCAGACATACCAAGGTAAAGCAGCTTTTCCTTTTATATTGTAATAATTAAAGCCATCATTTAAGATCACTTTACCAGCATTATTTTAAATAATTACTTCTTGATAAAGATGTAAAAATTTGTTTACATTTATTTAAAAATTGTTATTAACTAAAATCTTATCCCTAATTCCACTCATAGGCTAATCATTTTTTAGATCCACATTTTAAAACAGTTTTTAAGGAAGTTATTGTAGAAGCATAAAATTAGTAATTGGTTTGGGGAGCAATAAATCTACTATTTAGACTTTCTTAATATGAAAGATAAAGATACTATAACTAACTGCATTTTAGAAAATTTTACTAACTTTGAAACTTGAGAAAGCTTGGTCAAGAGAATTTAAAATTTACAAACATCCTTTGTTTGAAATAATATTCTGAGAGCTTACCTTATTAAGTAGGTGGTTAAAAATTCTTGGCTCAGCACATTTCACAGAAGCAATATTTCAATGACCAAGCATCAAAATACTGGTTTTGAAGAACTTTTCAGTGCTTCTTTATTTACACTTGTAAGCAGAGAAACGTTATCATAAATGAATTTTTTTATTATTATATCACATTTTATTATTATTGCATTTTTTAAATATTAGGAATTTTGACCTTAAAATGTCTGATAATTTATTATGGATAGGTTGGCATTAAAATCTATTTTAAAGAAATTGTTTTCAACAGATTAATTTTTACAATATTTTGATATATTTCAATGAGATTCTTTATTATTGTTTATTTTATTTATTTATTTTTTTTCTTGAACCTAAAAAAAGTATTCAAAATAATCATTGATTTAGTGTAAATGAATTAGACTACATATCCAAAATTTTACTCTACTTTAAATGAAAAAGTGCCAAAAAAAAATGTTTTTTCTGTTCAGTTGTATAACTAAAGAATAGTTTAGATTTTTTACTCTTTATTAAGCAGTTAATCGTTGTTAATGAAAGCTGATGTAAACTATCCGACTTTACAAGTAAATAAGATTTTTTTAAGCACAATTTAAACTTTGAAATAGGTGTCTGGTTAATCAACAAGTTCTTCACTCCAGTCAGTTTGTGCTTTTGTGGATTTGGGCTGTATCCAAAATTCTATATAAGTAATTTTGATGGATTGATATAATCAGTCTCTACCCTGATTGTTTTTGCTGCAAAATCCTGTAACCATTAATTTCTTAAACATTTTCTTTTAATGGTTAAATAAACACAGATTTATCTTTGTGTTACAAATAAACAACAGAATAATTTTCAAGCTGAAAATAATCAAATCATTAATTTTGACAATTACCTTCATATCAAGTATAAACAAGCCATGATAGATATATATATATATATATATATGTGTGTGTGAAAAGTGTATATAAATAAATATATATATGTATAATTATTTATATATTATATGCGCGGTACTTATTAGAAAGCGCTAATATCAGAGATAGAGCTAACATATTTGGTTGGATAGATGTGAGTTTGTGACCCTGGGTTTCACGCTTTAGCGATCGTCAGACAAACTGATTAATGTTTTAAAAATTTGGGTTTATGTAGATTGCATGTATTGGTGTTATTGTGGAAGTGGTGGGGGGAAATTTCGTCGTTTTGTCATTCATCGTACTAACGCAAACATCGATGTATGCAGACGATATACATACTTGGTCGTCCGTCGGGACTCATACATATATATATAAACATATGTAGACAGTTTCGGCTATGACACATGTATGTATACAGGTAGTGTTATGTCTATACATACGCATTTGTATGTTGAAATTTAAACATTGGAAGTGTGGCGAAATGTCTCGTTAATGTCTCGTGAATGTATCCATGTCATATTATGAAATTTTTTTTTTTTTTTTCCGTTGAAAAATATTATCTCGCATGTATGTATATATGTGTGGTGGGGTTTGTGTAAAATTATGATAGGTAAAAATTATTATTATAATTATTTATATTTATTTTTAAATTTTGAAAAAATGGGGTTTATTTGTTATATTTAAAGCTGGTTATTTGTTTGTTTTGGTGACTGTGTATATGTAACAGGTAAAAAAAAAAAGTGGTTGTTGGTGTTTTATTTTATTTTGTTTTATTTTTGTTATATGTATTAATTTATTTTGGTATAAAACTTGATAATAGGTATTCTATAAAAATTATGGTAGTTGAAGATTGCTATAATTTTTAATTTTTTAATTACAAAATTATTATTTAATATAATAATAATAATTTATTTAATATAATAATAATAATTTTGTAATTAAAAATTATAGCAACCTTCAACTACCATAATTTTACATAGAATACCTATTATCAGGATTTATACCAAAATAAATTAATACATTTAATACTTTAAAACAATATGATCAGATATAATTTCCATATGTAACCATGAGAACAAACACCTATTACCAGGCAGCTTTAATATAATAATAATAATTTTGTAATTAAAAATTATAGCAATCTTCAACTACCATAATTTTACATAGAATACCTATTATCAAGTTTTATACCAAAATAAATTAATACATATAACAAAATAAAACAAAAATAAAATAAAACACCAACAACCACTTTTAGTTCAAGCTACCACCACTATAACTACATTCATGGTTTTATCATTCTCCCACCACTTTACTAATCATTTCTACCAATTTGCAATTTCTTCCAATTTACAATAACTATTAGCTAAAGCCTAAATAGCATTGTCTCCAATCCTTTGAAACATTACTATCACATCATATCATATAAACCTGTTATTAAATTAAACATCACCATATAAATTAAACAATAAGGATTACAAATTTTTACCTGTTACATATACACAGTCACCAAAACAAACAAATAACCAGCTTTAAATATAACAAATAAACCCCCCTTTTTTTTTCAAAAATTTTTTTCAAAAACAAATAACCAGCTTTAAATATAACAAATAAACCCCCATTTTTTTCAAAAATTTAAAAATAAATATAAATAATTATAATAATAATTTTTACCTATCATAATTTTACACAAACCCCACCACACATATATACATACATGCGAGAAAATATTTTTCAACGGAAAAAAAAAAAAAATTTCATAATATGACATGGATACATTCACGAGACATTAACGAGACATTTCCCATTACACTTCCAATGTTTAAATTTCAACATTTCAACATACAAATGCGTATGTATAGACATAACACCACCCGTATACATACATGTGTCATAGCCGAAACTGTCTACATATGTTTATATATATATATGTATGAGTTGCGACGGACGACCAAGTATGTATATGCGTCTGCATACATCGATGTTTGCGTTAGTACGATGAATGACAAAAAAAACGACGAAATTTCCCCCCCACCACTTCCACAATAACACCAATACACGCAATCTACATAAACCCAAATTTTTAAAACATTAATCAGTTTGTCTGACGATCGCTAAAGCGTGAAACCCAGGGTCACAAACTCACATCTATCCAACCAAATATATATATATATATATATATATATATGCAAAAATAATTACTGTTTGAAATACTGTTGAAACTTGAAAACTTTTTTGTTATTGTTAAAACTGATTATATTGAAGAACCTTAAATAAACTCTACATAATGAGTTATTTACTTGTCATCTATGAAATTTAATTTCTATTACAAAAGAATATTAAGTTAATTGATTTTCAACAAATACTATCTTAAAGCTTTTATCTAATTCTATAGTTCTCTGTTACTAAAAATTACAAGAGTTGGGGAAAGATTTTTTTGTTTTATTTTTAGCAAACATTTAATTAAATCTTAGTCTTGTAAAAATTTGATCAACATTGGATGATTCTCATCTGCAGCACAAATTGCCAGAAGTTGTCTATTTCAGTAGCTTTTCTCATAAAAAGCATTACTCTTCATTATTGGTGAGTGATTTCAGAATCTACCATTTACTTCTTGCATCTCTGATCAAAACTGGCAAGGGAAATGAATTGGTCAATAATAATAAATAAAATATAAAGTTAAAAGAATAAAATAATTTCTCAAGTTTACTGAGATTGTTAGCGATATTTAAAATGATGCCTTTTCTCAATGAAGAATGGCAAGGAATTGGTATGCAAAAGTGCAGGCAAACATTTAATTTTATCTTGATCATTTTAACTAATCTTTGTAAAACAGTATTTACTTTATGGAAATAGGTTTCTTTGTTTAGCATAATAGATTATAGCTGTTGCTATTTATTTATATAATATAGACAAATCAAAAATAATTTCTTTTTAATCTTTAAAGTTGGCAAGAACAAAAAGCAGTTTTTATTTTTGTTTTTATATAAAACATCAGTTTATGTTTGTGCATTCACTTTTAGCCTTAAAACTATATTGAATGAGCTTATTTTATTAGTAAATCATAATTTGATTAACAAAACAAATTGTTAAGACAAATCTATAGCACTATGGCCATACAGATATTACAACAACAGACATTTTGCCAAATGGACATATAACTAAATGATTATATTACCTCTTTGATTTTTATTTATTATTATTTCCTCCTTATAACTGCTTTATAAAACAAAAATTATAAAAACTTTAAAAAGATAACATAATCACATAATAGAAAATCCAGCATTGCTTTAAAAGATATTGATTATAATATAACTGTTTTATAAAAATTCAGTATGAAATGTTTATAAATAGTTAAAGATTATGGGCTACTGCTCTCAAGAAGTACATTCTGGGACTTGTTCTTTGGCTTACTCAATAGCATTTCTGCTGCTACCAGCTTAACTCTGAACTCCCAGCCTGACTACTTAGTTTTGAAATGAGACTGAAAATAGTGGGCTGGGTTATTCTCATTTTCTTCTCAAACTTCTTCTGCTCAAAAATCATGTTTATAAATTATAAATCTTTAACAAAATGTAACAATATTTGAAGTGACATTTCAATGTAAAGTATTGTTTTTCTCTAGCAATGGTATGTAAAATTCAGATGTATACTATTCCATTAACATAGTTTCAAAATTATTAGAATTAAACTTTGTTTCTCCTTACATTGTATATTATATTAAGTTTAACTGATAATATCACTGAGCAACTGTGTAGGCATTTCTATATAAATGATACAAAACAATTTGAAGTTTTATTGCTTATTGTAAAATATGTAATAGTGTTAATAAATTATTTTAATTTAAATAAACAGAAGAGCATTGCAACTTTATTAATCATCTAAGAAATTAATGCCTGCTTTCAGTCAAGACCAAAAAATACATAATGTACTTCATTTACTCTTGTCTGTGTCACAAGTAAATTGTGTAAATAGAAGCAATTGTAAATAGTCATCTACCTAATATATCTCCAGAATATTAAGGGACTATTACTTCTTTCTTCCAACAGCTGCACCAGGTCTTCAGCATCAAAGTCTCCCACATCAGCCAGTTCAACAAATGGCTGCAGCACCTTCAGTAGTAACACAAATTAATCCAATTCCTTCTCAGTATTCAGGTAAATGTTATTTTACAGATAGAATTCTTCTGTTGCATTAAAACTTGTAAGCTAATGTGTTGTATATTTAACAAAGAAAGTATTTGATGAGTTATGGTTGAATAACTGGATTCTAGTAATTGAAAATATTCTGAAAGTGAGGAATCTACATTTTTTGTGTAACAGATTTTTTTGTTTTCTTTGTAACAGGTATCCCTAGAACTTTCAGATAACATGGAAATCTATTTGATAGTCATTATTATTGTTCATGTTTCCTTCACACTGTAAGTTTTTTAAGAAAAACATCTAGACAAAAAAAATTCTATTAGCAAAAAACAGAAATTTTATTTAAAAAAAAAAAAAAAAAATAAGCATCCTTGAAAAATTTTGTATAATGAACTGATCATTTCAAAAATATTGAATACAATACTTAGGCATCACATCATTTGTTTAGCACCTTTTTGAACTATAAGTGAGCACTTGAAATTCTTGGGACTACTAGACTAATTCATTAATCACAGATGTTATTGATGATCTTTTATGTAATATTGTGAGAATTTTACCTCATTTTGCTGATATTTATACTTTGCAGTAGTTTCTAAAGAGATGAAAGTGTCAAATGCATTAAATAATGGTACCAATAGAAGAAATCAAATATCAAATTGTTGCAAAACTGAATTCTGATTGTGTTTCTGACTGGAAGTTTTATAACATTGTATAGAATTGTTTTATCAAGTGTGAAAAAAAAACAACTTGAAACTTTGTAATGACAAAAAGTTGGATCAAAGATGTTTTATTAAATTAGAATTTACTTGACTGTTGATTGTTCAAGATCATGTTCATTTAAGATTTGAAGCTACAATTATCAATATTGAACCTGGATATAAATTAATAATTTTTTTGCAAAAACTTATATTTGTGATTTAATTGTTTGAAAATTGAATATGCATGTTGCATAAATTTTGGTTATATTTATGCTCTCATCAGTGGATATTTTTTTCTTTCTCATTTAGCATTTGAATTTTTGGTGTGATTTTAAACCATGACTTAATAAAAGATTTACTTCCATAGAATTGAATAAATGTGCATTTTGTTATTAAAATTTTTTTTTTTTTTCTAAATTTGTGAAAAAAAAAAATCATAATTGGACTTTAAAAAAAGATATTTACATGAAAAACGTATGGCAAAGTACAAATTCAAAATTGAGTTATTTCAAATATAGATTACTTCATTTACTATTTCCAGAAAACTGTCTCCTTTTAATTAACAATTGTTGTATATCACAGTGAACATGTAAAAATCAATGAAGCATTTTTGGAACATTCATTTCTGAGTCAAAAATTAAAATAATATGTTCATTTATCCGAGAATATAAATATGTTCTTTTCTAGATATTCAAAATGATGTTTGGGAATGAGGCATTATTACTTACATCTGTTTGTGTTATTTATTTCCAAATTGAAGGAAAAATAACTGCTTGTTTTTCCAAGTATTTTTCATACTGCTGTAAATTCTCAAGATGTTTTAACACACATTAAACTAGGTACTACCAAAAATTTGCAAAAATATGAAAATACATGATGAAAAAATGCCCTAAACTTAATAAAACAAAGTTTTTGTTATTATTAAGAGGTAAAACTGAAGACTTTTTTGATCATTATATTTTTTTATCCGTTTTAGAAACTTCCAAATCTTGGTTAAAATGTTTGTCTTTCTTGTGTCAGTCGGTGATCGTAAATTAGTATTGGGAATTTTAGCATCTTTTTGTGGTGAAAAGCACATTGATTTGGAAATATTATCTTGCAAAAATCAGAGAATTGTCAGATTTTAATGAAACTTTCAGGATTTATTCACAAATCAATGAAATTAATTTTTAAATGTTTCTCTTTTAGAAAATATTTGTTGTCTTTTCTTTTTTTTTCTTTTTTTATACACTTGTTAACCCTCCACTTATTTAATTTTATGAAAATCTTTTTTTTGCACTTAATGTTTATATTAGTTATAAGGACAAGTCCTCAAAGAATAAATCATGAAATTTTTTGGGTCATTTACTGAAAATCTGCTCTGAATCATAAAATTAAAAAAGCAATAAAACTAAAACATTTAATCAGAAAAGCTTATAATTGCTTTTATGTATAAAATAAATTTTCTGTGATGAATAATGAATTTTTACAATAATTGTTTTTTTTTTTTTTTATTTAGAATAATTTATAAACTTTAAATCTTTTAAAATTCTGTATTAATTTGTAGTGCACAAATGATATTAAGATAAGATTGTATTTACTAATAACTGGGAAAGCTTACAACAATTCAACGACCCCCTCCCAATATTTTAAAAAGAATATACGTAAACATGTCTATTTTTGTAAATACAAATGTCCAAATGCGACATTATCAGAAAATAGCAGCGGTAACTATAGTAAAGTTAAAATATATTTGTAATTTTCTAACATTTCCTCTGCAAGCATCTTCAAGTTAGACAAATTAGCTAAAATTCAATAAAATGTTAGATTACTTAGAATATTTTCCTAAATTTTTAAGATTTAGTTAAATAGTTAAAATAAATTCTACAAAAAAGTTGGACACATAATATTCAAGTAATAGTAAGAAACACCTCATAAAACGTTTTTCTGTGATATTTTAAACCAAAAGTAATTTTTGTTTCAAATCAGAGTAATTAAACTTTAAATCAGCTAATCTTCCTCAAAAGTTTCAGAAAAGTATATTTTATTTTTAAAAGATTTTTTTAATAAAGAAAATTATATGGTGTTGACAGATTTCTCAATATGGATGATTTTAGTGTTTTTACAGATGATAAAAAAAATTCAATTTAAATTCAGTTTGAAATACAGCAAAATATTTTGATTATTGGAAACCTTAAATTTAATCTATTAACTTGAAATTAAAACTAAAATAAAAGGTTTTTCATTTTTAAAAATGCTTTTTAAACTTTAGATACCACTTTTCTTTGGGTGTACCTACATTAAACTTATATCATGCTTATTATAAAACCCAGGTTGTGTGTGTGTGTGTGTGTGTGTGTGTCCATTTATATATTGGATTGGATTTCCTACATTTTTCAACTGATTTCAACAAATTTTTTTTTTTTTTTTTTTTTTTTTCAACTTTTGGAAGTAAAGTCTGATGATCCAGAGCCCTTTAAAAGGGTTGTGGTGAAATAACTTATTACATGGAACCTTAAAGTGATCTGTTTTTATTTAAACATATTTGCTCCGAATTTACATTGAGCTCTCTGGATAGCATCCTTCTTGGGTCTACTCATACGGATTACCTAATTTTGCATAAACTAAATATATATATATATATATATATATATATATATAATGTGTGAAAGGAGTGCACTGGTAAATAAACGTATGGAGGATATTCTATTTATTCAAACTATGGTTATTTAATTTCAGGTGCTCCTCAGCCAATTCAAAGTTTGGCCCCTGTGCCAAATCAGCAACCAGCTGGTGTGTATCCATCTAGTCAACAGTACCAGTCAGCCGTTCCTCCCAGGCCAGTAGCTGACCAGTCTCTGATGTTCCGACAACCACCCCCACAGTTACCACCTGCTCCACAAGCACCACCTTCTCACTTCATTTCATCCCCACCCCAACAACCACCGCCACAGTCTCCCCAACCCCAACAACATCCACCCCTTCATCCCTCTCATATCCATCCACCTCTTCAAACTTCCATCCCACCTCCCCATCATAATACTGGCGGTGCACCACCATTACAACAGTCATTCCAGTCTCGACCTCAGTACCAAGTGCAATCAGCCCCACATCCGACACAGGTGAGTCTTTTTAAAAAGTACTTTTTTTTTTTTTTTTTTTTAAATCTGTATCACCACCCAAGCAAAGCAGTACAGCCACTAACATGCTGTACTAAAGTAGAAAGGGAAAAGAGTAATCAGGAGGACAGTATAATGCGATTGACATTACATTTAAATTTTTTCAGATCAAAGTTGGCTGCTCTAGAAGGGAGTTTCACAAGCAAGAAGTGCAAGAAAAGAAACTGTTAGTACTCTAGAAGTTACGGCTTCATCTAGCTAGCTCAACTATAAATTGATGAAATCTCGGCACTAGTCTAGTAATGCATTTAAATTCCTACAGTCTAAGTACCATAGCAAAGAGCTCATCTGAACAATTACCATGAAAGGCACAGAGAAGCAACCTTATGGCTGTGGGCAAGTAACTGAAGCTGGGCCACCAGATCATGACCAATGATATTGCTGATTCTTCTTCTGATCTTATCAAAGGAGCTCCAGGTAAATAACATGGGTACTAGACCATATATGACAGTAATATTCTAAGCATGGACTAATATTGTTAACCTCATATGTTATCAAATATGGGTACAGGTAGTCAGATGAAGATATGTTTCCTGTGAATTAACAAGTAGACTTACTCTTATAAAGAAAGATACTTTTCTGTTGTACTTAAAATATTTTTAGTAAAACCTATTACTATTAATGTTACAACAAATATTACACTTATACATTGATAGAATAAATGAAACCTTTGACATTCATTTTTCTTTTAGATATTTCATATCTAAGTTGTGTTAGAGGAAATCAATGCAACTGATTTTTATAAGCAATTAAATAGTTTAAAAATCTTTTATGCTAAAAGTACATTTATTTATTGTAGTGGAAAAATAGTAGTATAAATATTGAACTCTATACAAAGTTATAGCTAAATTTTTGAAAATATTAATCTGTTATTAAAGACCTGTTTTCTTATATTCCACACCATATTAGGATTGAAACGAGTGTACTCATAAATTAGATGTTTGTATTTTTGTTAAATATTGGTTAACATTTCTTTGGAAATGGCCTTTTTACAAGCAAAAATATTACTACTTTTAGTGTAATATTTATTAAGAATTAATTACTGTATTAATCTATTCCGTCAACTCCAAATTAGTCTTTTTTGTTGAATATAAAGCATCACTGGCTATATACTGGTTTTGAGTTTATCTAAAATTCACTATAATCTTTACAAATGGAATTGTTGAAAATTCTCAATATTTGTCAGATTTTGTGCTATGTTCACTATATGGGTTTCAGTTCTTAGTATGCTTATATTGCTGATGATTAACTACTTTCTAAACCAATATACTTGCTTCCTCTTCTCCTCCTCCTCCTCCTTCTTTCTTGTGATTTGATACAGCCACCAACTCATCAGATGCCTCCACCCCAACACCAGCTTCACCATCCTGGAAATGCACAGAAAATACACCCTCCTCAGAGTCCCCACCAGAGAACTCATCTTGTAAACACTCCTGCTCCTAGATCTAATGTATTCAACAAAGTACACAGAAAATATCAGAGAATAAGGTAATTATATTTTCTTTATCATTTATTTCATTTAATTTTTGTTGAAAATAGTTTTTAAAAGAGAAAAACTAATTTGCCAAATGATAACTTTCAGAATCTTTCTTATTAAAATGTATTATTAAATCATATTCAAAATAGGAACAAAGTTTTATTTTATGCAGTTTATGTTGCTAAAAAAGCACTAAAAAAATTATATTTAGTTTCTTGAATGTGAAAGAAGTTCTAAATCTTGAGTATTAAACTTCTGTAATGAATGCTTTTTTAACTTTGCATCAGATTTATAATCTTAAGTTGTTAGGTTATTAATCTTTTCACATTTTCATCATTAAATAGCACTTTGAAAAAGTATTTCCGATTTTTCACAATATGTTTTGTGTATAGATTTAAAAAAAATGATTTTCTCTTTTTGCAGGGGTAATCTATTGGTATCTCCTAAACGTAAACGACAAGAGATTCAAACACAGCAAAATAAGAATATTAAGGTGTTGACTACATTCCCTCAAGTAAAATTAATGTCTGATGTCAGTGAACCTCCCAATAAAATAGCAAAGGTTTCAACTCATTTAAAGCAACTAACACAATCAGATGTAAGTGCTTTTTATATTTAAAAACAAATAATAATTAAGTTTTGATTCTTTTACAAACAATAATGTCATGAAGTTGCCATTTGACAACTTTTGAAAACTTTACTAGATTAAAATGATTTGAATTAAATTTTGTTAGGATTAATTTTTCTATTGGCAGATAACTTTCTGGAAAAACATTTCATAGATTCTGAGGAATTTTGATATTTGTATCACTTTACATTCAATAATTGTGATCTACTCACAAATGCACTTTGATTCTTTTCAAATAAACATTTTTTCCTCATTTCAAACAAATCATTTCAGTAACATTGTTTTTCATGTATTTTCTTTCAAGTTTATAATAAAATCTCTGATGCTGAGTATTTGTTAGGTATTAAATCAAAATTATTGATTCTTGGAAAAATTGATAATGTCTAGCATTTTTTTTTTTTTTTTTCATAAAATTTAATACTTTAAAACAACATCACTTAATTTAATGTGTAACTTGCAATTTTAATACATAATTAAAACTAATTGCTCAATTACTTTTCAGGATTCTCTTGATGAAGAATCAAAATCCTTAAGAGAAAAATTAGAACAGCAGAAACGAATGCGTGCAGAGGTAATTCGCCGTAAAGAGTTACGCCGATTGATGCAAGCTGAACAAAGACGGAAAGATTTGCAAGACAAATTAGCTGAACAAGGTAAAGAATATATTTTCTATTTTAATTTAGTGTTTAACATTGTTTTCTATGAAAATTCAAAGAATAATAATTCATTTCATTAATTTCTTTTAATCTAGGACAAAGTAATTCTGCTGATTATGCCTCAAACATTTCCTCTGCTTCTTAAAAAAAAAAAAAAAAAAAAAATGCCTCATGAGTGTATTTTCTTAATTAGTATTTTCATGAAATATTTTACTTTATAAATCCCGTTCAGTGAAAGATGATGTTTATTGGTAACATAGTTTAACTATTGCAAAATTTTAGTGACTTTAAAAGGACCCACCTTTCTTCCTGCCTATTATTTATTTTTTTCTTATGTCTTTTTGGTCATATTTGTCAACTACATTCAGGGATTATAAAACATCATAAAATAGCTTTTATATTTATGATATGCTGCATGTTAAATAAACTATTTCTTTGACAAACCAACTTTTTCACAGTTTTATGGGACACAGTGATGAACAAACAAGTTATTGACTTAACAAATTTGCTTTATTTCAAGTGCTCAACCTGATGGCTATCTAATAAGCTTAGTCTAATACTAGGCCACATGTGAGAGCACTCATTGAAGATTGAATTTGCTATGCATTAGTAATAGCCAGTTAAACCAGTTTATTAATTTTATACACAGTCTATTTTAGATTTAATTATTCTTAATTCTTCCAAATATTTTTGAACCACTTTTAAATACTGCAAATGTTTATGAAATCTTAACAAAATTGTTAAAATTTTAAATGACTTATTGTTATATTTTTCAAAATATATGATGTTTTCATTATAATGATCTTTATGGTGATTGTATATATGGAATACACATTTGGAATGGGTTAAAACACTAAAAAAAGACTGAATAATAAAAACTATTTTTGATGAACATAATCAGCTTCTAGGTGTCTGCTTTTATCTACAGTATTTCATTCAGTCACTTTGAAAAGAGTTAACATTCTAAATTCCTTTTGTTTATTGAACATTTGTGTTGTTGATGTTACTATCACAGCATTTTGACTAATCCTTTCTTCAGTTTTTATTGGAAGTACAATTCATAAAAAGAAAATTAAAAAAAAAAACTAGTTCTTCAGAAAATAGCAGTAAATAAAATTAATATACCAACCAAATCAGTCCATTTCAGCAATGATACAGATGTATGCAATTATATCAACTCTAAGCAAGTAGGAAGAAAATCACACACTGCTAAACTGTATATTATCCCAACTTATGCACCTTGCTTGATAAGTTCATATATTCCACCTCTTTCAACTTTCACACTCTTTAGCAGTGCTTCTTGTCAGTCATCAGGACCTTCAATGGAATGTAACCTGGACTAAACATTTCATATTTATAATAGTAATCACAGGGTAAGTGGAGACCCAATATCAGGCCCAAACTGAAAATGTACTATTCTTATACAAAAAGTTAATATCACCATTACATTGATAACAGTGATGTTAAATATGGGTCTTAAGATTAGAATTATTATTCAGTTTGTCATAGATACCTTGTTTATCATCTAAGTATCTTATTAAAAAGGTTAACCACAACAAAATTCAACATTAGTAGGGATAAGATAGTTGTTTCCTTAATCAGTTTTATGAAATGGACAAAGTACTTTATATGCAATGATATTTTGTTTCTAAGTTGTTTTCATTGAACTCTTCAGTCTGGTTAAGGTACCTGTGGAAGACACATTGTTCATCTAAACCCAGCAGGACATGTTAGATTATGTAAACTTAATTTGATCATCTATGTTGGATAAAATGGAGAAAGAAGATAAGAAATTTTTTGTTGGGTGTTATAGTTACTTGTATAGATCAAAGCTATATAACTGTGTACAAAAAAAAAGAAATTTTTCTTTTGGTTTGTACAACTGACAGTCTGAAGAATGGATTGGTTGAAATGTGATGTCAACATTAACAATATGAAGGAGGAATTCAGTTGTCTGAACAGAATTTAGAAAATCTTAAATATCTATTTGTGTAAAATCTAAGCTTCTGTATAAAAAATTATAGCATTTTAAGGATTTTCAGGAAGTTGTACCTAAGACTATGCTTATACTTCTAAAAATTACACTATGTTAATTTAAAGTAAATGAAAACAATATTTCTTGCGTTTTTCAATAAAATAAAACATACAATTCCAGTTTCGTTACAAATGAGCTTTTATTAACATTAATATTCATATTCATATGTCTTTGCACTAAAATGAGATGAGCCAAAGTACTTTTATTACTCTGACTGGAATTGTCTGATCAAGCAGGTCAATTCAGCATTTTTAGCTTCCATAGGATATGGGAGCAGAAGACCCACCAGGGTGTTCCTGTTCTCACCACAATATTGTGCCTCACCTGGATTCTTGATATCACTAATTGGACCTTGAAGGACTGGCAATGTAGGCTAATGGCAAAGTTCAGATCCCATATGGCAATCATCCCCTGTTGTTAACAAAGGCTCTATACAGGCTGGTGATTGTTCTATGGTATAGGTTGTATTCACTTGGCATGGGTTAGTTTTGCTAGTTAGTCTAAGCATTTTATTGATCAGTTGCACTGCTTCATAACCATTTTCTCACATTCATAGACTCCATGAACTCCAACAATGATGGAGTACATGAAGTCTATGAATGGAGAATTTCAGTTGCCCAGAATTGGTTTGAGGAGCATTCTGGAGACTTCTAGCAAATTGACCATTTATGGGAAATGATGGAGTGGTCTATTGTGATTGGCTATCGAGATAGCATGGCTCGGAATCTTTACAGAGATCTTCTGGCCACTTATGGAATCGATGTCATATTTAATTGCTGCACTTCACTGGACACAGTTCTACATTTTAATTTTGGCAAATCAGTGTAATTTAAGTTTCATTATGAAACTTTTAGAAATCATTTTATTGTTCATGCTTTAGAAGTTTTTTGAATAAAAAACTAGCATTTTCACTGGATTTTGATTGGGTTTCATAGTGATTCTGTTTAGTCATTGAATCTATTAGAACCAACTTATCTTAGATCCAAAGTTTGAACATGTGAATTTTTGATTAATGTAGTTAATTTTCTTGTTATTTGAGATAATCTTTTTTGTTGATCAGGTTTAACTCTAGCTGATATAACTGAAGAGCAGAAAGCTAATATGATGGAAGGCGCAGCTATTAAACAAGTAGGAACAGTGAACAAAACTCTCCAACCTCAAATGAAACAAGTTGTAAACAAAAAGCCTTTACAAACAACACAGGGGCAGAATACTGTGGTTGTTGCTGGTGTTAAGCGTACTGTTCCACAACAGTTAATAGGAAGACCTGTGAAGCAAATCAAGGTTGGTCCTGGGCAGGTTGTTTCACAAATTCAAGAAAAAGATAAAAACACAGGACAATATGTACCTAGTCAGCAGAATAAAACTGAAGCACAAGAGACGCAAGCAACAAGTAATGTGATCCTGTCAGAAGAGCAAAAGAATTTTTATCAGAAACAGTATATTCCGCCTCATCAACAATTTCAATCGGTGTCTACATCTAAAAAGGTCAAGCGAGTCTTGCCTGCTAAGAATTTAGATCAAAAGACACCATTATCACAACAAAAACAGGAAGAGTCAAAACAAGTGCCCGGACAATCAACAGCTGCAAAGGCAAAGGAACAGCAACTTGCACCCAAAAATCTTCCCTTACAGCAGCAAATCCGACCATTGCGAGGTAGCAAATCCAAAGTTTTACAAGGACGCACTTTATCTGCAACACAAATTCGAATGCCAAATCCAAACCATGGTCAAATGTTTGGGCAGCAAAGACCTATGGCTCCTGGGCCAAATCAACATAGACCCTTAGGCATGCAAGGTCAGCTGAGACCTGGGCAACCATCTAATCAACTGCGTCATCAGATGCCTGTCGGACCAAGACCTCTGTCTGCAGGAAACATAAGGCATCCATCTCCCAGTGGTTTGAGACATCCCTCACCAGGTGTACTCAGGCACCCCGGACTTCAAGGTCATCCTCGGCCCATGCGTGGACAGCCACACTTAATGGGTCCTCCTCGACAACCTCGTAATGCTCAGGATCAACTTCGACCATTGTATTCCCCAGGTCAACAGAGGTTCATGCCTCCGGCTGGCCAACAAAGGCCCATGATGCTTCAAGGAAGAGGGGGAATTCGTGGCATCAATATTCGTGGCCGTGGACGAGGAATGCTTGGTAGAGGAGGGCATCCCTTACCTATGGGGCCCCTAGGTGATGTACCACAGCAAACTATTCCACAGGCACAAGCTAAACTGCCACTAACTTCTCCAAAGCAAGAATTCTTAAAGAAAACTAAACTTATTTTAAAGAAGGTGGTCAAAGGATCAGTTTCTCAACCTGCTGTAACTAATAAAACTCCTCCTGTTGGTGGAGGAAAGAAAGTACTTGTTCGTAAAATCAGTCAGTCATGTCCAAATCAAGTGAGTGGCCCTCCTCAGGTCAATCCTAGCCCCCAAGATAAAAAGCCACCAGTATTAAAGCATCCAGTAAATCGTCAAATTCGTATGCAAGGACCAAATGCAGCTGGAGGCCAAGATCGAGTGAAATTTCCTAATCCTTCTATGGGAAGAGGACAACCTCTACAACGTCCCATGGGAACGGGTCCTGTTAATACAAGAAAAGTTCCGGTTAACTTAGCTGCTGCTAAGGAACAAACAAATGTTGGTAGGGTAAGTAGATTTTGTTTTTCTTTAAATTTCTTTAGGTTTTATATTTATACAGAGAACTTAACTATCCAAATTTAAAAAAAAAAATCTCTGTGATCACTGTTAGAAAGGATTTTTGTTGAAACTTCTTGCATTTACATTTTTTTTTTTTTTTAGTAATTTATTAAACTGATATAAAAGCTATAAATTTTTCAAACATGAATCAGGATATTTAGTTTTCGTTTTTTTTTCTTGTTTATGAGTCTGTTTGAATTTTTGCTTATACATTTCCTTTAATGTTTTGTCTTGATTTCTAGAAAATTTATATTTTAGAACAAAATTTTAAAACTTATCTCATGCGTTTTTATTAATCAAGGAGGCTGATTTAATGAAATAAAATTAAAACCTGAACATATATAAAATACATGACTTTATTAATCAGTCATGCAATCTGTTCACACTAATTCATAAGGATGTATTTGATGCTACTTGAAGCAGACATATCTTACCATTACAATGGAACGTTTCATTAGTAAGTAACGGGACCAGGTTGCTAATACATAACTTTTTATTTTATGTTAGCTTTGAATATATTTACTTTTAATGATTTAAAAAGCTAAATTCATTTTTAATGGTCACCTTGTAGTCAAGGGAGACAAATCTGAATTACTGAATTGCTTGACATTAAATGGAAACTTAGATAGTGAAATAAGATGTCAATAGAATTAATGCTTATATGATAATCCACATATATATAGAATGCAGTGTGTGTGTGTGTAAGATTTTATTATATCAAATTCTCATCATTATTTTTCTGGTTATATTGAAATCATAATTTTTCAGTAGTGAATTTTGTTTAGTTTAATATTCAGAAAGTAATGAACATAAAAAGTACCAAAAAGTTTTTGATATTTCATAAGTACAATATAGTTGCAAAATTACTTAAATATTGTTGCCATTTTTTATTTTTTACACTGAGTGTGTGGGGGGATGGGTAAGATAAAAAATGTACATACACGGACAAATACTTGCACATGTATAAGTATATTTATTCCTGTAAATGTAAACAGTATGCTATATTCAATTTTTATTTCCTCTAAAGAATAAGTCTTACTTAGTCATTTGTAAACGTTGCATCAGCCAGCACCATGGCGGCTTGCCAAAAACTTGATTACTCTGGAGACAAGCTCTTGTGAAGCTACACAAGGAAAAAGCACACCATTAGAGAGATTTCAGAGAAAGTGAAACGTTCCAAGAGTGTTGTAGGCAGGGTTGTTAAATCCTACAATGATACTGGCAAAATAGTGCTTTTTAAAACTGGCAGACCCATAAAACTTGACAAGAGAAGATCGAATAATGCAGCGTATGTCATTAAAGGACCGTTTTAAGTCTTGCACAGGAATTAAAAGGGTTATGAATAGTACCTCATGTGGTAATGTGTCAAGACAGACTGTTTGTAGACGACTGCAAGAAATAGGGCTGTTTAATCAAACCCCAAGGAAGAAAGCACTTGTTAGTTCGAAGAATAAGAAGAAGAGATTAGAGTTTGCAAACAGGTATGTAATTTGGACATATGAAAATTGGGCAAAAGTATTTTTTCAGTGATGAAAGCAAGTTTAATTTATTTGGAAATGATGGAAAAACAATGTAAAGAGACGTATTGGTGAAAGATTAAGTTCAAAGTGTACTAAGAAAACTGTCAAGTTTGGGGGCGGAAGGCCATGGTATTTAGAATGTTTTCTAGCCAAGGTACAACGCCTCTTGTCCGTTACAAACTCGTGTAAATCTAAAAAAAATCTATAAAAAAAATTGTTCAAGATAATGTTGTGCCAATCATACAGAGTTCAGGTTTCATAGGGCTACCTTTTTGCAAGATAATGCCCATGTCACAAGGCAAAGGTGGTAATGAGTTACCTTAGCGAGCAAGATTTGGAAATTATGGATTGGCCACCGCAAAGTCCTGACTTAAATCCAATAGAAAATCTTTGGAAGACCTTAGGAGTGAAAGTTATGGAAAAGAAATCCCACTAACACGGAGGATTTGTGGGTGAAGCTTCAAGAAGAATGGTCTAAAATTAGTATCGAGGATTGTCAAGAACTGATTCAATTCTTGTAGTCAAGATGTGCAGCTATCATTGAGAGCAAGGGCTCATTTACTAAATATTGATTATACATGTATTTTTATTGTTTTTTTTAAATTTACATTGTTTTTCTCAATTTTGTCCCTTACTTTTGGACGATCCTATTTTGAAAATAAATAATTGTTATAATTCTTTTTCTATCCTTTTACAAATGATTCAAATTTTAGTATGTTATTATGGATGATAACAACTACCAATTGTCAAAATTTCAGCTTTTCACAGTTGTTATTTCTAACAAATATTAGGTTTTAAAATTTTATCCCTTAGTTTTGGACGCTACTGTATATATATACACATACACATACACATGTACATATACACACATATATATATATATATATACACACACATATGTATATACACATATATATATATGTACA